CAAACATACAAAAGTTTAAATCTTTAAGTTGGTTCTTAACAAAATTTATAATAAACTGCTGTAGTCTGTTCTATTCTTTGTGTAATCCGTCTGTGTTTCCAGAAGCAGAACACGAGCTTTAACCAAGTCCACCAATGTCATGCTCTAATGCCACATCTGACACTCGGGCCTTTAGGAGATGCTCAAGGGTCAGCGCCCTAATGTGGCCCCCCTGCCCCTAATGCATCAGCGCTTTCCCCTTGAGAATGAGTCAGCTGCCCTGCCCTGATTGAACTTGCTGAACTAGTGACACTTGCAGCCATTTAACCAAAAGGGAGAAGTCACTTCTAAATGTCAGAAAATGATACACAAGCCTTAGAGAACTAGAAAGAGTAACTCCTAAAAGTCTTTTAAACTTTTAAGTTGGTTTTGTTTTCATTTGAGCAAATTATTTCATTGCTTGTAAGACACTAAGCCTAAAACTGTAACACAAAAATGTCTTTTCATGAAAAAAGGATGAGAAAATAAAAATATGTCGAAGATAAACTAATGCTTACACATGGGTAAAAAAAAATCCAAGGGAAAAACATGAAAGCACAACTAGTACTAAAAGCACCTTTAAAAATATAGTGGTATATTTACATAGCTGATTCTTTTGAGTTTAATCTTTTTCACATGTGAAGGCATCAATGGTAATTATATTCTGGTTCAAAGATTACTTGTTTTTGAGAGCTGATCATGGGAGTATTAGTTGGTATTCAGGATCACTAAAAGCACTTCAACTTCAATCAGGTTTATCATGTATCAGCTGTGACAACGGTCCATAATAGCATAATTAACTTCCAATTACCATATATAAATATAGTAAGGCAATGATAAAGCTAAATCCCTTAAAGCAACATTTTTGTGTCTGATAATATTAACAAAGCATGAATTAATAAAATCATTGCTTCACTTTACCAAAAATGACTTGCTCAATGGGAAAAATACATATAATCTGAGAGAGCCAGTGACACTGCACATCAGTTTCCTCTGTTTTTGACAGTTTTATATTTTTTCGCCTAAATAGTTTTTTTTTTAATTACCTCAATCAACTTGTTGGCGTGCTCACGGAACACCTGTGCATATTCCTTCACTTCTTTCTCGTTGCCATTCTTGGCAGCTTCAATCAGAACCAGAAGAGGAACATTGGTCTCCAGAAAAGAGTCTGAGACATGGTCCATCACAGCTTTACGCAGCTGGAAAAAAAAGAATTAAAAACATGAAAACTGCAAGAGTAAAATGACAAATCCCTTGTGAATTTAGTACAATCTCTTATGTAGCTTAATGCCATGTCTTAAGTACATCTTAGGTATAAATGAGACAAAAACWAACGACATCAAAAGGATTTCTAGTGAGTTAAACCATGAACTAATGATTTGTTTTAGTGGCTATTTCCTAGAATTAAAATTTCAGAGTGTAACAAGGTCTAAAGTGAGACAAAAGCAAATTGGCAAAAAAGCTTGCAAAAAATATACCTGTCTGCGAAGGTCTCTAGTCTTCTTCGTCATCCTGTCAATGGCTGTGTTCAGAGCATCACTTCTGTCTTTCCTTCCCGCCTGAAACAAAAAGAGAAAACAGTGAGTGGTGTAGGGATGTATGCTTCACATTTGTCAAGAGATTTGAAAAAATAAAAAGTACATTCTTCTCAATAAAAATTTAAAATTTAACAGGACTAGTGAACAAAACAACCCTTCCCTTGAAAAAGAACATAAACGTAACATTTTTGATAAACATCTTAAAAATGCTGGTGGGTTTGTAAACATCAAGGATGTAGTTGAATAATTTTGAGGGAAGCGTTACACAAACAAATGCAAACAAAAGATTTCAAAATTCATGAACAAAAGTGTTTGTGAGAGAAAACGAGAGAAAATTACTGCTCCTGGGAGGTTTGTTTTAGAAGCTTAAACGTTTTAAGTATTCATTGTCATTTTAGTTTCAGTTTCAATTCTTTATTCATTTCATTAAAACAAAAACAAATCTATATACAATATACACTAAAAAGAAAAATCTAAAAAAAAAAGAAAAAAAATATATGTCAAAATCACAAATAAAATGAAAAGGCAAATCAATGCATTCTACACCGTCTACAAGTAGAGATCAATGCAAAGGTTAAAAGTTTTAATTAAAATCTTAATACATTCAACATATAAAGAAATAAGACACTGAGCTAAGTTTTAAAACACTGATTTAATCAATACTACTCTATAATTCATGTGCAACAAAGGTTTTCTAAACGCTCCCACTACAAAACACTGAACGGACCACCATGCAATACATTTTAATTAACCATTTAAGGAAAACTAATGCAGTTTTTATGCAGTGCTGTTGAGCTAAGATGTATAATTTATTTTCAAATAAAAACATGAGGAAAATAAATTCATTGTCTGAGTGTTTTAATCAAGTCTTGCATCAAGTATTAACTGATTGCCAAATATCTTTCCTCTGAAATGCATTTTTCTTACATCTTGTTAATGTTCTTTCAAGTATTATCATCATCATGTACAAAAAGAGAAAATCTGCTCCCCGACAGCATAAAAACAAACAGTAGGGGGCTAACAAACAGCAAGGGGTGACAAGCAAGACTTGAGCAGCGAGTTTTTTTGTTTTTGTTTTTCCCCCACAAGGTGACAGGAATACATGCTTTGTGTATGGGAAATCATTATGTAGCTACTCCTGCCACCAGCTCAAAAGTATTAAAAAAATAAACATGTTTTTTTTTCACCTCACCTGGTGACAACGGCTGTCATTCATTTAATACAAGTATCAGATTGTGATTGATGCAGTGCAATGTCACGATATGTTCTGGATAGAAAGTTGTTCAAAGTGACATGTGAATGTTACTTGCTCTAAAATACTAAGACTGCCATCACACAGTTACAGAATCGTGTCATTGTGCCCCTTTCGGGCAACCTTACATCCAATTAATAAAAAGATGTGCATGACTGAAAAAGAATGACAGAAAAGGGCAGCGACAGAGGTGACTTTGGAACACTGTTGTCAAGCAGAAGCACGTTGAACATGTTTCAGGAAGGCAGACTGGCTGACAATCATGGCAGAATGTTCAAAATGATGTGCTCTCTCCATGAAACATTAGAGATTGATGGAAGTATTTTCACAGATCTCAATGTCTGAAATGGAAACAGCAGCATGGTCACCATTTCAGGCAACCTGTAAATGGAAAAGCACAACTACGAATAGAAGAAAAAAAATCTATTTCAATGTAYTCACAGTGCTATGGAGATGGTCGATTGCTTGATCATACATAAAAAAGCAGCTGTGACTACAACTGAGCCCCGGTGGAAAGAAACACAGAAAATAGTTGAATCTCTGCCCCACATGCGTAAATCACTTCGAAGTGAACATGTGCTGAATGAAACACAATTAAGTACAGCTGGTTAACTGTGTAAATTATGTACAGTAACATTTAACACTATAGGTAGTCGTCACACCATGAAGCAAGGCACAGTTGTCGTGGCTCTAACCATTGCACCCTACTGAGAGAAAAAGAAATGCTCAGTCACAGTCTACCAACTGCTCAAGCCTAACCTGAAATTGTAAAACTTCCAAGAAAACAGAAAGAGGTGGATGGGAAAAGACCTGTGGGGGGAGATACACACCCAATCTGAAAATTTGAGGATTTAGGGGCAAAATCAGATTACAGTGAACATGGGCTGTAGAGGACAAAACACAAGATATTTAATGGAAMTGCAACATCATGGATAGTGGTGGCACTGACCTACCCCATCCCCCACTGCCCTTTGCCCAATGGGGTGGGGGCGGGTGGGTTGTGCACATAGTTAGGGGCCAGAGAGCGCCAAGAGCACAAATCCCCTGTGATTTTGTGTTCTCTGGATGCAGAGCTGCGAGAGGTTTAGCTCTCTTTGCCCAGACTCGTTCAATCCTATTTCATCCATGCCTAGCCTATATTTCATTTCCACACCAGAGGGTTCAAAGCACTTCTTCAGGTGCTCATTATAGAGGCAGTTTCTCTGCCACATCTTTTATGATACTCAGGTGAGTCTCTCCATCCATCTTCTTTAGTCCAGATTTAGTAATATTCACTTCAACAAAACCATTACACCAAAGGACAATTGTTGAAAAATTGTGGGAATAAAAAAAATGTGTGAAATGATCAAAGAACAGTATTGTTTTTTTAAAATGATCCATCAAGTTAAATTAATTTACTATCCATAATTAATTGGGGAGGGTATTCACTTTACATCTTCTTTCTAAACACCCTAAATTAAAAAAAGAAAACATGCCAACACAAAAATGGAGGTGAAAATTCCCTACAGGTTTAACTTTTTTTCCCTTCATTTTCTCATGTATTCACCTCTCACATACTGCGAGGGAATCCAAGTGGGAAATGCAGGCTACAAGAAAATATGTAGAGAATAACAGAGGCATGCAAATCAAGTGACCCACAAAGTCACAGCCAGATGGGTTTTATAAGTAGGAGCTGCTGCAGTAACAACAACAAAAAAAAGCTAAAAACTTGAGACAAAATAAAAGCATTAAAAAAAGAATACTCCAATTTTACTTGTAATCCATTTTTAGGCTTCTTTTTAATAATTGTAAATGGTTCACAAGATTTTCAACCTATTTTTGATGATAGTTTTGTTACTAATTAATAAACCTACATGAAGCAAAGAAGGTTTTTCACAGCTTCCTTTGAAACATCATTAGTTTACCCCAATGAACAGCTGCCCACGAAAAAAAGGGAAAAAAAGTACTGCATTTAAGGATAGTGAAAATGTAAATATTAGTCATTGTATTGTATGAATAAGACAATGCAGTAGRTCTTCCCCATCTTCCTGTTTCTAGCTCAAACTTACCATATATTTTGCCTCTTTTTTTGTCATTTTGTTTCTAACATACAAAGTGTATGGAAAACAAGAAAAGGTTGAGATTTACAGCTGTGGTTAATTTCAACAGCAAGCTGCGGCAACACGTTCGAGTTATCAATATTCTGACGGTGACGAGCCAGTGGGAGGGAAAAGGGGAAGCAAGAGGGAGATGGAGGAGGAAGACTAAGGTGCACAAGAACTGTGTATGAGGCAGAGAGCAAGCGAGTGAGCGGGAGGCAGTTTGTGTGTGTGGGAGAGAAAAGGAGAGGGGGTGAGAGAGAGAGAGAGAAACAGTGGTGATGATCGACGCCAGGCTGCCACCACTCTGCAGCAGTGAGTGGCTGCAACAAAAAGCACAGAATAACATCCCGACTCCCTGCTTTGCTTTTTTTTCCTCTCCCCGCATCTCAGCGACCAGATGAGGGTTCCGCGCGCAGCTCTGCAGAGGCAATGCTGAGACTGAGCCCGCGTCAAAGGCACGATCTCTGGCTGCCATCAACAAGTTAAGGTTGGACGACCAACAGCCATGAGAGACAAACGCTTGATTTTCAGTTAATCGGCACTGCGTTGGAGGTGAAACGAAAGGTTAAAGAAAAAAAAGGAGCAGAAAAAGAAGAGGAAGCTGTTGACTGGAGTCGCTCTGGACCAAACTGATCAACTTAAGAAAATATTTATAAATATTTATTTTAAGGATTTATTCAAGGAAAAAGGTTGACATCTTCGAGCCTGGATTGTTAAGGACTCGGACAAAAAAAGGAATATACGTCATCTTCGGACATGGAATTTTACATTTTATTTCAACTGGGTGGGTTCAAAATTGCTTTATCTCCAAAGAGGCTGATTCCTTTTGTATTTACTCAAAAGGGCTTTTCCCCTTTGGATTTTCTTTCCATCTGGCTGCTCCAAGAGTCTTTGGAAAAGGACAGTTGAATGCAGCCTCCGATGTGCACAAAAGAATGGGTAAGTTAGCCCTTTTTATGGCAGCTCTGGACATGAATAGGGAATATAAGTAAGAGTGAGTGAGGCTAAGGACTAAAAGCTCTTCTGCCTTGTCTATTTACTGCAATAGTCCTTCATTTTCCCTTCTACTCTGACACAAGTTGAGAAGATGTGCATTAAAAATTCTATTTGTTTTCACGAAGGACGTTCAAAGTGACAAAAACAGCTTTTTTTAAATTATGGGCTTTAAAGCATATTTTAGCATTTAATATTAAAACATCTACTGACAGAGGGAAAAATTGAATAAGACTGATGATTAGTAATAAAAAACCAACTTCAGAGTATAAATCATTTGATTATATTTAACATTTATTTAACCTTTGATCAAAGATAACATGGTTACATACACTGTGAAAAGTTGCACTTATAAACTGATCTGCTTGCTATAGGTAAAAAAATAAAAAATAAAAAAATGAAAGACTTACGGCACAATTGCCACCATGAATTAGTAATAATTACTCTGCACAGATTAGTTTTCCCGCCCCAAAATTCATTTTCTTGTCTTTGAACCGACCCAGGTTTCCATTCAAGGTGGCCATTGGTGGGACCTGCACCAGTGGCTGTGAGTGTGATCAGTATGCTCCTAGCGTGCGTGCTGTCTCCTGCATCATGCACAACCTGCCCTCAAAAATGCCGCTGTGAGGACCTGCAGTTCTACTGCGACACCCAGGGGCTTAAGGCACCGCCAGATGGTGTGGACAAGGGCGCCCTGGGGTTGTCACTACGCCACAATAGCATCACCGAGCTCTCCCCTGATCAATTCTATGGTTTCAGTCAGCTCACTTGGCTGCATCTAGACCACAACCAGATCACCACAGTCCAAGAGGATGCCTTTCAAGGCCTCTATAAACTGAAGGACCTCAATCTGAGCTCAAATCGTATCACCAAGTTGCCCAACACAACCTTCATCCACCTCATTAACCTTCAGATACTGGACCTCTCCTTTAATCAGATGACTTCACTGGAACCAGAACTCTTTCATGGCCTGAGAAAGCTCCAGATACTTCATCTTCGCTCCAATTTACTTCGCACTACACCCGTTCGGGCATTCTGGGACTGCCGCAGCCTGGAATATCTGGGCCTGAGCAGCAACCGTCTGCGGAGTCTGGCCCGAAATGGATTTGCCGGGCTCATTAAACTTAAAGAGCTCCACTTGGAGCACAATCAGCTGACCAAGATTAACTTGGCCCATTTCCCTCGCCTTGTTGCCCTCCAGTTTCTGTACCTGCAATGGAATAAGATCAGCAACGTAACATGTGGAATGGAATGGACCTGGACTACTTTAGAGAAGCTGGACCTGACAGGAAATGAAATACGTGTCCTGACACCTGACGTGTTTCAAACGCTGCCAAATTTAAAAATATTGCTACTGGATAACAACAAACTAAGCAGCCTGGAGCCCCAAGTTTTGAACATGTGGCGGTCTTTGAGTACAATTGGGCTGTCCAGTAACTTTTGGGAATGTACCAAAAGGATCTGCTCTCTGGCCACATGGCTGAGCACCTTTAAGGGAAGGTGGGAACACTCAATTCTCTGCCACAATCCTGAATACGCTCAAGGTGAGGAGATACTTGATGCCGTTTATGGATTCCAGCTTTGCCAGAATTTTTCAGCGCCAGTAATTCAGACCATTAGTACGACGACAGACACAACAACGGCTGCAGAGATGACGAGCTCCTTGTTTGGAATTATGCAGTCAACCCCCACGCAGGACTATACAGAGGATTTGGGGAGCTTTACCACAGTCACTACCACCACAACCACAACACAAACACCACACACTGCTCAAGAAACTACTGCTTTGCAGGAAGAGGCAGCTGTGACGGAGGACTTATCAGCTATGGACAACACTGTCATGACTCATAGGGTTATCATTGGAACTATGGCCCTCCTGTTTTCATTCTTTTTCATAATTTTTGTTGTGTACATCTCACGGAAGTGCTGCCCTCCCACCCTGCGGCGGATACGTCACTGTTCAGCTATTCAGAACCGCAGACAGATGAGGACCCAGCAGCGACAGCCAATGGCAGACCTAGCCACACAGGTACCCTATAATGAGTATGAGCCCAGCCATGAAGAAGGGGCACTTGTGATCATCAATGGCTATGGGCAGTGCAAGTGTCAGCAACTGCCTTACAAAGAGTGTGAAGTATGAACTCTTATTTATTCCTAGACCATAAAAGGTTTGTCATTTGACCATTTCAGAAGATACAGGGTTTGCTTTTTTGATTTGTTTTCAGTTTATGTAAGAACCCTAATTTCTACAAGTGAGAAATGAGAAAATGTGACAAATGCAGAATGCTACAAAGACGGGTTGGACAGTAAAGGAATGATGTAGAGATAGTCACAAATTTATTTTTATATGAAAGCAAGGTTGTTCATATCAGCCAGGGGCAATCATTTTAAATAAGAAAATTGTAAACTGTGAGATTTGTCTCTACATTGTCTATATTCTGCAGCACATTTAAACTACTGGGTCTGATGGCCCTCTGCTAACAGAATACATCTGAGGGGGATGTAATATGTCATTTCATCCAAAAAGTAATTATTTGAAATTGTATTTTTAACTGCACCTGAGGCATTGTACATCAGTCACTCAAAGGTAAAACAATGAATTAACAGTGTTGCTTTATTGTTTCATTGTTTTTAAAGGATAAGACGATGGGTAACAAGACTAAAGTAAAACTAAAGATCATTTCTTTTGATGAATCATTTCATGGAAAATGATCATTCCACTTTGAAAAACATAWTTCCACCACTTTAGGTTGAAATTAAACAAATCACTACATTTGCACCAGATAAAAAGCTTTGTTTTTTAAAAACATCTGGATTTTTATTTTTTACATTTTGGTTGTGTGGAAATGTAGCTGAAAGTGTGTATTAGTGAGTAAGTAAATTTATTCATTTAATCAGCATTAACTGAAAAACAGCGTGTTGATTTGTAGCTTATATAAAATGGTATTGAACATTTAGCTCAGCTCTTGCCTTCATGGGACGACCACCACAAATAAACCTCAACTTGTGGGACACACAAAGCTGTGCTCAGCTCGGGTTAATCTCCAGTCTACACTGGTAAAAACTTATGGATGTCATGCTCACATCTGACACCCAACAATTTATACAACCTTTAATGTTCCATTATCTGTATATGGATTAGTCATTTTCTAAAGGCCATATAAACTGTGACCATTATATATTTGAGCTAAACCCAATTAAGCATAATTTGCTGATTTGCTATACCATAATCAATTATAGACAAACTTGTGTTATATGCAAGTAGCAAGTAAAAGGGTAATGAACAGTGCAAATGTCAGAACAGTTTATGCTGAAAAAAAAAAACCTGTCCCAGAAGCTCAGAGTCTTTACCACTTACACACTAATCAAGACTGACAGGTTCAAGATTGAACCAATTAAGGCAAGGCAAAAATAATCTGATATTCTGTCACCCAGACCAGTGATCCAGCAAAATTTAGCTCTTTCACCAGGCAAAAATAGTTGTATAGTCATCATTCATACCTTACCAAAAACCCCACTTATTTTGATTTTAGGCATTTTGGAAAAAAATTGTTATTCTATATCTGAAATATTGATTTAAAGTGAATAATTTATAAATATATATCAGTTTTCGTCTTTTGCCTAACAAGAGTCAGGCTAAACTGTGGTCAATACCCTGAAAGCAAATGGAAATCTAGTGATAAGCAAACAGCGCGCGTCAGTCAGGACACATTTGTATGCAGAAGGAGTGGATGTGCATTAGCATCAGTCTGAAGCTGCTGCTGCAGCTTCCCACTCTGTGTTCAATTTGGTAGTGGGGGGCAGGGTAAGAGGAAGGGGGATTCAGGGGGATTGATGGAGCACAATAAGAATGAATAAACTTAAGTTTATTTTTTTTAAATATCTGGCCAAATACTGAAGTATAAAAATGAATAGACGACAGTTGATTGGGCTTTAAATGAATCCTGATGATACAAAAGCAATGATTCCACAATTTGTTAGCTAATGAGATATATCCGAATGTTTACTCACTAAAGAAATTTTAAACTTTTTTTTTTAATGGGAAAAGGAAAAATCTCATAACAATTTCAATATTATTTTCTTGCTTTTGGTTGCACACCAAAGTCAGCACTTAGGATTACAAGATGGTTCTCATAGCTCGACATAACACAAAAGTGAGAAGTTTGTCATTTTAAGAAAATAGGATGTATTTGAATGGATGAGATCCTGTGGGTGACGTCAGCAAGTACCATTTGTGCTCTGATTTTTTTGGTTTTTGTTTTTTTATTTCATTGTTTTTAAGTTTGGCAAAATCTTGCTTCAAACTTTAACATGAATGCTATGTGTCAGTGTATCAGCAGATGCTCATACGATGCCTACAAAACAAGTGCATATGTATACCAAAAATTGTTACATCTCATGTTCAGATTTCATTAAAAACCATTCCATACTGACATTTTCAAGGCCAAACTATTTTTACTTTACCAATTTAAATTTTTTCCAGCTTCACACTGCTTTTACTACTGCCCTTCTAATCTATCTTGCATGATCCAAAAAAAAGGAAAAAGTATCAGTCATTGAGTTGAGTATTTTCTAATTTCATTTTGGGAGCGTTAGTGAGACATACTTTATGCTAAAGACTGAGGATGTACAAAGTACATGGAGCACCAAGAGAGTTCAGTAAATCATTTGACATTTCACTGTTTAAGACTACAGTTGTGCCAAGTGACTGAAAATCCACAAAATTTGTAGAATTATGCATCCCTTTGCACTTTGGCTCTTTGTAAACAATTTTGTTTCCTCTTGTCATCTTCTAGCCCCATAATCTCACCCTGCTTAAAAAAATAAAAAATAAAAAAAAGCTATGGAAAAAATAAAAATAAAAAAAAGAACAATCCCTACTCTCATTTTCAAACTCTTTGTGCAAAAATGAATGCTTTTCTCTTCCCATTTTCCTTTTGTATTGTAAAATGTACAATTTCATATCTGTATAGTGGATAAGATGTGCCAAACTAAAAAAAAAAATAACACTGTCCCCTCAAAACATATATTTTTTAAATAAAATGGTTCAAAATGTTTGCAAAGTGTTTGCAAACAGATGTAAGCTGACATATTGGTTTGGTCTTTTATTTCATTTTGAGTCAGTGTGTGTACATTTAAATATAACTGCAAAAACAAATTTAAAATAAATTTGTGAAGTTTATCATGAAGATAAAAAAATGGGTGAATTGTGCAACTTTTTGTTAAAAATAATACAGCATTGAAAAAGCTAGAAGTCCATTCTTTCTTCAAAACAGAACTAGAACGATTTTTAATTTATACAATGTTGTTTAAACAAAAGACATCTTTTAAGACTATTACCACTCAATTTAGAGTTTAACAATCACTATCATTCTAATTAACTAGTATATAATTTAGTTAAAACATCACAACATTACAAGCACAAACTACTTTATAAAAAGGTTTTCTACTTTCAAAATGGTTTTAACTAGATGGAGGCAGCAGATAATTTCTAAAATGATATTTTTGAAAACAGATTAAACTGAAGGATTACTAAAGTGACTGAAGTAAAACTGACTTATGCATTGGATATGATTGGAATTGTCAAAGGTCTTCAAATTAATATTTTTAGAGGATTTTATTTACTTTAAGTCTATTAAAAAGAGAATGGTTTAAAATCAATTTAAAATAAGTATTGTGTGTTGTTCAGCAACAACCACAAATGAAAAATCTCAGAACATAAGAAACCAAACAATTCACTACACATTCAGCTTTTAAAATGGACGATAAAATTATATTTTGATGTTTTAAATGTTCCAACTGTTGCTTTATTTACTGTAGTCATTGTTTTTGTAAACAAAATGCTTGTTAAATTTAAAGTCATATGCAAATATTTAGGGCTTTACATAAATGCATCTTGGGGAAAAAATACATGTTATTTGGAGAGTCATTGCCAAACTGAACATTTTTTCCTTGAATGATTTCTTTCTCTTTTATGGAAACCAAAACCCAGAGACAGATATTTTGCTCTTTTTATTTTCCTGCGGAACTTTCAAATTTTGGTAAGGGGAAAAACACATTTGCACACTTAAAATACTTTTTTGTACTTCTGACAAAAACTATTGAGGAAACAATATTTCTGCCTACCAAATTCTTGGCAAAAATAATTTTTCTTTGAAACCACAACATTGAAGACAGTTTTCTCATGCCTGGCTAGATATTACAAGCTGTTATTTTTTTAGGACAATCACAACACTGCTTAGAATCTTCTCTATCCTGTCAGGAATACTGACAATAAAGCCCCCTACTGGTCTAAAGTGGTAATGCTCCCCACAAATTTTTAGGTGGACGCAGTTTAAAAGGATCTCAGCCCTTCATAAGAACAAGATTTTTATTCAAAGCAGCCCTACATTATATTTTCACTGTCATCAACATAACTTTTATAATAGAAAGATCAATGTATATTTGTACAATGACTCAAAATCACTTTTTCACTGTTTCAGTTTTGCAGAGAATTTGGGAGGGAAGGCTCCACGTGACAGAACAAGGGATAAAAGCAGTAAATCTAACAACAATATGAGGTGTGTAGAAAGGATGAGTTAAAATGACTACAGTAATCATCACACATTTAAGACCTCCTAAATTGCAGCAACTTACAATCCTTACTAAATATATTTTGTTCAAAACCATCCCGAATAAAGTATTTGTAAAGATGGATAACACATGCAACGGCTACCTTGACTGATACATTTTTTTTTTCTATGAACAAATCAAATGCCACTCCTGTAGGCTCACAATTATTTTAATTCAGTAGAATAAAAAGAGAATATATATATATAATTAAAGAAAAACTTTCAGATTTGTGCCACTTCATTTACATTAGGACATGTTTGTTTATAAAATAAAAGGACAGGTTATGTTGCTGTGATTACAGCAGTTCATATCCTAACTGTTCAAGCTTTATAAAAACAGCAGAAACACTAAGCTTGCTTAAATCATGGTTTCTGTTTACAAGAACTGGATGATAAAACAAAGTGTATGTACACATCTTCAACAAAACACCTGATTACAAAATTAGGAGGGTGTTTATGACAGCCTAAAGGTTTTTTACTGTGTCTTTGTTGTGGCATGTGTCTAAATGTTTTCCTGGTCGGCTGCGGTTCTTTTGAGTGCAATGATTCTACTCCTGCTTCAAGACACGTCATTTCCAGGTGAAGCAGTTGAACTGGAAAATACAGCCAGCAAGCAGGTGCTAGCGTGGGTGTGAAACTGTATATATGCATGATAGTCTTGAGATAAAAAGGTTAGCTGTTCATARTGAGCAATACATTTCATTAAAGCTTATCCTACGTAATTGCCATGTCATCAAATGGCATGACAATCTGGGGCCAAACAAGATAAAAATGTTGGAGCAATATGTGACAACCTAGTCTTCTCAGTCTCCAGTGTTCTCCAACAGATGCTGATAAATACTGGTTCAGCTGACAATTTAAGGTTTAAGCTTCAACAATAGGCATAGAAAGGCACATCTTTGCCAACAAATTTGTCATACGCCACCATAAATATAATTTGTCACTCAGAACTAATTTCCCCTGTCCTCAAGCAAGCTAGTTAAGAGTTCAGTTGTTAAATCAAAGTGTCCCAGTGTGATTCTTCTTCTGTACTGCTGAGAAGTTCATCTCATCTACCTGCCAACATGGCCAATCAGAACTCACCAGCCAAAGATCAAGGGGCAGGTCTGAGAAATGTTGTCTGACGAGCGCTTACTGACAGACCAGTGTTTTATAGAGGCTGTAAATATACGTAAAGCCTTCAGGACACTAAATCTTTTCCTTGTTACACTGTGTGGTGTGTAATTTCTTTTAATTATGGAATCAGATAGGATTACAAATAGATAAATTGAACTGCTCTGACAATAGCAGTACTTCCTGCTTCTTTGAAAGATTGCCTCATGTCCATAGGAACAGTTTGAAAAAATAAAGCTGTGGTAATATAAATTCTGTTGAATGCATAGTAGAATTTCCTCTTCTTTGTGTATTTTTTTTTTCTTGATATGTTTTCTGTTAGATTACAGTACGCTCCCAAGTCTACAAATAGCACTGCTGCTCCTTACTGAAAACTATAACAAAACTTAAAAGCACCACATTAAATTTTTTTTTAATAAACCAATGTTTAATGTGATTTTAGAAATACTAAATTAAAGTTTAATTTGACAGGGGGGAAATGAGCTTTTAGAAAATTTCTGGTATTGGCTTTTTCTTCTTTTAACAAAGTTAAGAAAAATAATCAGTTGCTTATCTCTTCCCAGAAATTCTGAATGATGGTGTTCTTTGAGGGTCTAAGTAAAATTTTTTAAACAAATTAACCTGCAAAAAAAACAGCTGTGTGCTTTTACAACAGTCAAAATTAGATCATGACTGTTGCTCACTAAAACACAAATGTTCTTATTACTATAGTGTTCTACATATTGTTAAAGATTAAACAAAGACTCAAGAAGTGGGTGTATGTAGATTAGATGCATTTGAGGTGCTGCTTATAAAATGAATCCACTCCATCTCCATAAAAGGTCAGAAAGTGTTATTAGGTTGTTGCAGACTGTAGACCTGAATCTCCCAAACAAAAATGTGATTTTAATGCGATGCAACTGTGCAGGCTCAAAGATAAATGGATAGAAGTAAAAGTCTTTCACTCACAGTGCCCAAGGCAAAAGATAAATTAAAAAAAAACAGTAAGACTCAGGGAAAGAGTGAGCTGTCACAAGAAAAAGGGACCAACAGCAAGATGATGTCTGCAAAAAGAGCAAATGGGAAATATGATTCAGCCAGAAGTTCAAAGTGTACAATATATGTTAAGGAATTTCAAGTGGTGAAATTTACTTCGAGCTCCGAAAGAAAGTGAAAAGAAGTAGGAATTAAAATCCAACCAAAGTCGTGTATGTCTGAAACAGACATGAAAATGATCATGTGATAAGAATTTAATGTGAGTAGCTGCACGCTAAAGCATCTGATCTCCATTTGCTACATGAGACATAGCCATAGCTTTGGCAGATGTTTGTAACAAAGGATGCATTATTAATAAAAAGTGGCAGAAATGGTTACACTTAACACATGCCATGCCCAAACTGTCGTGATGGTATAGAATAACTGAGGTTATAGCATGTGGCAGAGCTGGAGAAACATTACGCCCCCAAATCAACCTTTCCACTTCACTGGCTGCATAGACAAGCCACTATCTTGTAGAATGTTCATCATTAACGGTGAATCATTTCTAATCCAAGAACGAAAAAAAGTGAATCTTACATTAGCATGTTTATTTTTAGTCATCCAATAAGAGGATGTCTTCAAGAAGAAGGTTTCAATTCAAGCTCTACTACTGCTACTATAAGGGGTTGCTCTGTGCGCTTTAACTCCAATCTGCGAGCGTCGGCCGTCAAAGTAACGTCATTTGCACATGGCTAATTAGGCTCACATTACCAAAGCCATTTCCAACCCACTGTAGCTGTTAGATTTAYTGTTACAGTCACTGATAATCGACACACAGCACATATTTTCCTCGTGTGAATAAAATTATTATAGCTCACCAAAGTCACTAAATCAGCAGAGGACAGTCACACTGAAGGATAATGGAAGATGTGACATATTTGCACATTTCAGTGAAGAGYGCGACTACATGTCAAGTTCAATGTCAAAAGAACAATGACTTTTGGTAATATCTGTAGAGATAAAACAAAGGTTACTAAACTGATTTCAGCTTGTGTAAAGCTCTGACTGCAGATTTTTAATGGTTTCAATTTCACTTTAAGATATAATTAAAAGCATTTAAAGTGGTTCAAAGTTTTTTTCTCTGCCGTCTGGTTTCAGTTGTAAACTTTACACAGCCTCCTTAATGTTCCTGGACATTTTGAACGAAGATGGTATTAGGGCTGCAGTTAATGATTATTTTAGTAATCGATTAATCTATCAATTATTCTGACGATTGATCGAGTAATCGGATATAAAAAAATTATAATCTGCAGTAATTAAGCTCTTTTTATGTGAAATATTATTTACTATTGTGAAGGGGTAATCTGCACTTGCTGATGACTCTGCTGCAATCACAGTAAAATTATAATTCCAGTTGTATTAATTCATGCATTTTAAGCCCCAGTTGCTTGTATTTATGTGTGTGGTTTGAGGAGGCATTAATTAAAAACGTTCTGTCATTGAATCATTTTTAACCATCACAGAAAAATCTAAATGCTGTAAATTTATTGTTATGGATTGGAAAACTGAATGTATTTTTTTTGTTGGAAATTTAATGAGTAAAATGGGTAATATAAACATTTGGGTGTTGCAATTGAGTTTTGTGGAGTTCACTTGTTAATTGTAACAAAAAAATTCATATTTTTAAGACTGTTATAAGGTTGGTGCAGGGTTCCCATTTAGGCAATAAAAGATTTAGTCTTGACTGCTTAGTTACAAACAAATATGACAGTACTAATGAAGGCTAAAATCATAAAAAGCAGCAGAAAAGTTTTAAAAATCCAACTATCTTCTATAAATACTTTTAAACTTGAAATATTCTCTCAAGTATGTTGTTTAAATTAAGATAAAAGCATAAACAAATAAATGTGTTTCATCTCAAGCCGTCAATCTGTTGCTGTGCTTTTATTTTTATCTGACAAACTTACAGTAAGTCTYGTTTTTAATCATACAACTTACACACTGTTTAATAAAACCCTGCCAGGTCACCATGATTAGTCAGCACAAAWAACGTTAGTTTAAATATACCTCCTCTTTGTACATCTRTAACATGACAGATTATCATAGATTTTGCAAATTTTGCAAAGGGAACGKAAACAAATAYCTGTTGTTAACTCCGGATGCGTTTGGTACATGCAGCAGCTGTTTTTGTTCYGGTGCAGAAACATTGGGGATGTGCARAKCATTGCGCATYGTCATCTTTTCTGTTTAGTTTTAAATGTTCCCATGCTTTTTAYAGTTTGTYGTTTTCTGAGCGCTTCGTTTTAACACTTTGTCTTCTTCTAAAGTTAAATATAGAGCATAGCAAGCATACACGTGTGACACGTCAACAATCGTTAGCTAAAGCGCCAACATTGTAGCATTGTGTGCAACACAAATAACATTCCAGGCAGACGAAAGGGCGCCGATTGTAACAGTATGTATTTTTACGAAGCTTCAAGGCAGATAATTTGCCTCAAAGATTTTTTTGTAATCGAATTACTGGAGGAATCGTTTCAGCCCTAAATGTTATTACAGCATGATTCACTTTTAAATTAGAATATAAATCCCTTACCTTTTCTTCTGTTTTCTTTAATACAATACAAAAACATCAGATTAAAAAATATTTTGAACAAGCCCCAAACTTAGCATAACCGCCACCAATATCTCACATAGTATGTAGGAGTGGGGATATAAGAACTACKCTTAAACATGGTAATTTGTTAAATCATTCATTCTAGCAGCACAGAAGGAAAAGGTGCCACTATAAACAGACAGCACATTTTATGTGACACATAAAAGTAGTAAAATAAAACCAAGTAGACTTGTAAGATCATCAAACAAATATGATGTTTGAGTATTCTGTCAAGCTTTCCATTAGTCGGGTTAGTTTAAGACAGAAGGCCAGGGTACAAAGACTCAATATGCAAACTACATTCCACACCTCATAGCTCAGAGGCCATATTACATTATTAAATACACATTATATACAATAAGACATGTTTCTGATCCTTTATCTTCATCTCATAACGGCCATGTTCACTCTGAATCCCCATGCTTAAGAGATGTGCTGCTTAAATCTAAGTTTTGAAATCATTTTGGACTAAACTAAATGTACTTGAAGCAAACAAGATTTTGTTCAGAAGGACGAAACCTTAAAACAAACAAAATGAGCTTTGAGTTGACAGAAAGAAAAAGACGGATTGTAATACCTGTGCAAAAAGTGTTTACAGGAAAGTAAATGATAGGTCCACACTAACAAAAACATTTGTTAGGTTGTAAATTATTGTTCTGTATTAAGTAAATGGCCAACTCCAAAACAAGGATATTTTGTTTTCAAATTTATAAAAAAAAATAAAATTAAAAAAACCACACACACACACTTGTACAGCTCTGTGCAATACTTCACAATGTGTTCTGCACAAGCCTAAGACTTCCTGCCCCATCCCTGTTCAGAGAACATCATGACCAAAGCAGCCCCAAGTCTGTGTTTTGGACAGTGATTTTAAGTCTGGAGCTTCACAGGGGATCATCCCATTTGTTCTCTTCACYTTGTACATCAMASACTTCAAATACTGAACTGAGTTTCTTTATAAAACTGTTGATTCTGCAGTAGTAGAATCCATCAGCAGTGGAGAGAAGCACTGAGTACAAAGCAACAATGAATAACTATGTCACATGATGTGACCAAAACCAAAAGCTCAATGTGAAAAAGAGGAAGAAATTGGTGGTGGGTTTGAGGAGTATAAAGGCATTTGTGACAACCATTTTCTTTCAGGRGGTCCCTATGGAAATTGTTGAGCACAAATACCGGGGGATGTTTATGACCAACAAACTGGACCAGGAGCTTTGTTGGTGTCTAAAAGAGACAGAACTGTTTTGATTCTCTAAAGAGGCTGAGGTCTTTCAGCATCTGCAGGACAATGCTGAGGATGTTCTATCAGTTTCCAGAGGCCAGTGTTATCTTGTTAAGTTAATGGGGGCTGTGGAATTGGGCTAAAGGTTGCAGATGTAAACGAAATCAACTCATTCATAAGGACAGCAGTGTGATGGGGGTGGAGATGAATTCAYGACTGTGGCTGTGGAAATGAGGATGTCAAACTTAAGACATTTCTAACAAACATTTTCCACTCGCTCCATGCATGGACAGATGTCTCCTTCAGCTATAAACTGCTACAACAGAGATGCTCAGGCACAGGAAGTCACTCAATATCAGTGAGCATCTGGCTGTTTAATGGCTCCTTCAACATACAGTATTAGACACTCCAAATCAATAAAACTCTGGCGTGCAGCATCACAATGTAAAATAAATCTTGTTCAACTTCTTTATCTTCTTCATATCTATTCAACTTGAYATTAGGTCAAGTTTTACTGTTTTCACATTTTTTTCTAGATGTTATTTGTTCTTTCAAATATCTTTCATGGTGAATTTTGTTCTTATATTACTTGGAATGACTGCTCCAATGTTGATTTTCCATACGGGGGATTAATAAAGTATTTCTATTGTGCTCTATTCTACCTTTTTCCTCTATTTTCTTATCATACAGCAATATTAGGTCATCAAAATCCATTGGGGGGGCTTCAATAGAGATGCAGCTCAGTGTGTGTTTATTCTCACTGTTCACAAATCATTTCCATGAAGCCACACCTGATTTTGTTAAAGCTTAAGACTTGTGTTCACACATCGATTACTAAAAGTCYTACTACTGTAATCAAATCTAATCAAATGGGTTAACATGTAAGGAAGTTTAAATTCCATCAGTGATGAAATTGTAACCATTTTAATAACTTAATTTCAAATTTATAGTTGACAAAATGGCAAACATGCAGTTAAACTCTTTTTAAAGAACTTGAGGTTTCTGATGGTAACATTAGTCCTCAACTTTTGCTTACAAACTTTCTAAAAACGACTAGTACCACATCTAAATCTAGTTTTATAATTCTAAGACTGACTTTAATTATACCGACAAATGGTGGAGACAGTACATCTGAGACTACACAACAGTCCGTCCGTCCATCCATCCATCCATCCATCCATCCATCCATCCATCCATCCATCCATCCATCCAACAAGTGTTATTATTTAAAAGATTTCAATTTGGGAGGCTCAAGGACATGCCCCAGATTGCAATCAAACTTTTATTGTTCCAAATGTTTGGAAGAAGTGCAGTCAGTGATTGTAAGACAGGGTCAAGAGACAAGAGAGACAGAAGGGGGGAAAAAAACAGGATGAAAATACTGTCTGGGTAGATTTAGAAAACTTGTTCCATGTAGGACTGTAAAAAACATGAAAGACAAAAGGCAAGAAGAGATTTTGCCAATTATTCCTAACATTCAGGTGAGGAAAAYGGATTAAATCACAAGCACCTACTTGCATCATTATGCAATATGTTAATGATAAGAGGCTCGTTCACATGCCAGCTGTAGCAGCTTGGTAAAGATTAGTCAGTTTTCTAGTGATGAAGAAGAAGAAGAAAACACTTACATTGCCCATATACTCAGACAGGAGGTCCTGCAGGGCCTGGCGCACAGAGTTGCATTCAGCCACAATGCGCTCCCTGCGGTCATCGCGTGTGCATGAAGAGTCGGCCATGAGGGCAGCTCCACTGATGATGCTTTCAAGACGTTCCTCAAGAGAAGGACGAAAGCGCTCCTCACTGAATGCCAAGGGATCCACAATGATTTGTTTCTGTATTTAAAAAAAAGGAAACACAAAAAAATCTGTAGAGTTGTAGCAGTGGACATTAGSACTTTTGCTCACATAGTATCTATCTAGATTATGATCTTGTGAACCTGTAATTAAAGAGTTATTCAAACTGTCACAAACACAAAAAGTACCTTTTATTTTGGTAAGAACTATAATTTTCATTTCCTTTGCAATAATTTCAATAATATAGCTTTTGAATGCACTGGCAAAGGACTAAAATGGCATACATCTTGGCGTTAAAAGGACTGCAGTAGCTTCAGGTACTACCGGTAGTTAATTCCAGTTCAGATCGACTTGGATGGGAACACCTRAAGGCTTTAGGATGGGATACAGGTTAGGGTTGGGCAAAATTGGCAAAAWATTTAATCAYGATTAATTGTGGTATTTAGTTGATAACGATTAATTTGATGATTAATCCCCTGGAGTCCCTGGACACCTTTATGTCCTGGTCACATGACTAATGTAGTGGGAAAGACTTGCTCTTCATAAAAATCTGTTCCAAATTGTGTCAAAATTACAGACTTCAGGCTATACATCAAATTTTAAATTGTGTTGATAAATAAATCACAGAACTTTTTTTTAAAAAATGTTCGTCAAATTGGAAGCAGAGTGGAGCACCGAGCGGACTCTGCCTGGTGGCATTAATCATATTAATCACCAAGTGCCAAAAAGTAATCGATTGTTTTTCTGACAATTAATTGCAGACGATACGATTATGCCCAACCCTAGTACAGGTTCCTTTTTAGTTTTCATTTTGCTAACTGCAACATTTAAAAAAAACTTTATATACGTTTAAACAGTAGGTCAKGTGAAAATTAAAAGAATAGATTCCCTTGATTGTTTCAGAACGTTGTGCTTTTTTTAAAGTTTGTGCTTACTCAGTGTATTCTCATATATTCACAGCTTGCAGAGACTACAAAACTTTGGGAGGTCACTGTTGTAGTGAATTTAACACCAGATTTGTGAGTGTGTGCTAAGCCCTCAACACGCTGAGGATAAACCTGCTGCTTAAGGCAACAGGAAAAWAAATTCAATCTTAGGACATGTACTTGTGTGTGAGTAGACAGAGTACCAACTGATTCTTATGGAAGAAATGCCCTGTTATGCAAAAATAAGTTGCATAAAACTATTTAAATAAAACAGGTGATTTAGTTAAACTCAACCCTTTTAGCAGAGTGAATGAAATTTGTGGCCATCTTTATAAAACGACAGGTTTTTGCCCAACAACAATATAAATATGCAAATGTAACTCAAGAAATTGTGTTTATTTTAATTCTGCAGGAAAAGTAAGACTACCTAAATGTTTCATTTCTTAAAGATTAACATGTTAAAGAGAAGCTTGCCATGCTTAGGCCCGTCACAATAAAACTTTGCTGGATGATAAATTGGCTCGGATATTTTTGCGAGAAACGATAAAACTGTTTGAAAAACATTTTAAACCAATACAATGATACAGCACACACGACGTTTACAAAATGTACATACATGAAAAAAGTTACGGACTGATCTGGACAGGAGGTTGTGAAAACAACAAACAGCAGCTGATGAAGCTGTAAAAATCGCTTCCCACCTCCTCTTTCCAAGACAGCGCAATTTATCCTGCATGCATCTTCCTCTGGCTTTATAAAATTATCAGTCACCCGCACGCTGCTTTCGAGGTTTACACGAGTTTATGAAATGTACAACATGGGGG